ACTGAGGATCGAACTCGGGTCCTTGCGCTTGTGCAGCAGGCGGTGAACCCACTGAGCTAAATCCCCAGCCCTCTAAATTTTTATTTTGAAACAGGGTCTCACTAAGTTGCCTAGACTGAGCTTAAAGTTGGCAGTCCTCCTCCCTCTGCCTCCCAGAGTATGGGATTACAGGTGGGCACCACCATGCCTGGCCCTACTGATTTTTATATTGTGATCCACTGCACATCCTTGCCTTTCACTTGGTATTATATGAACTAAAAACTAATGTGCTTGTTACTTTCACCTTCCTGAACACAGTCTCATTTTCTTCTAGTGTTATTAGCTTGGCTACTAAATGTGCCATGCCCAGCTTCCGAATGCACCTGAGAGCACATGGAATGGTTGCAATGGTCTTTAAAACCTTGGATGATTCCCAGCACCACCAGGTATTGTAACGTTTCTGAGGTTGAGGAGTGGTATTGGAAAAATTTCGGTTGTTTTGACTACCAACAAATACCCTCACTGAATATTTGTATGAATATATTCAAATTATAGGTTGAGTTCATTTGATTTGCTGAATATATAGAGAATTTAATGCCATAGGTTTTGCTTAATAAGTCACTTGATTACTCTCACATGAGATTTTTGGGTTTTTTTTCTTTGTAGTTTGTCCATTTGTGCTATTAAATTTTCATCCTTCTACCATAGCTAACAAAACTTACTGGATGTTTAATTCTGTAACCAAGATCTTTCCCATTCAGAAGAAATCTTGTTTGATATTAATGACTTGAAGAAAAAGAGTTCTGAACTCCTTAAACTTTTTGCCCAATACTGAAGCTGGAAGATAATCACATTGTGGATAGGAATAAATTCTTCACCTACATTGCCTTTGATGTTTACTCTTAATAATAATGCATATATAATAAAAGCTTTACCATTGTCAAAAGTTAGGAAAAGTAGTCTTCCTTGCTAATCATTATCAACACTAGTATTTCGAGGTAGCCTTATTTTATTCTAGGAAACTAGGATCCAAATACAGAATGGGTGATAAAAAAATTAGCCTAATACCAAGTCTTTTGGAAACAAAAGTTCTTGAGTTTAATCCTGAACCAGCGTGACTATTACCAGGTTGTGGCAGGTAGAAAATGAGAAGGGAGAGATGAGAACCAGGCAAGTGTAGTCACTTGGCTCTGTTAAGCTGTTAAGAGCAGACTAAGACATTATTGTGCTTCCTCAGGCTCAGTGTTTCCCTCCTGGCCTTGGGTATGGCACCCTAATTTCCCAAAGTAGCTTGCAGTGTAAACATTTAATCAGTCACCTGATTGAATTTCTGAAGTTTCTGTATTTTGGGGGCTTCAGAGTTTAAGTCATTAGATTATTTTGTTTTTGTACATTGAATTACAGAATATCTTGAATGTTGGAATGTCCAGACTGTAAGACATCTTTGTTACATGTTATCCATGGGGCATGGGCTCTAGGAACTTCAGAGCTAGCAGAATCTCTGGGTGCTCAGTTCCATTCTGTGAAAGGGCACAGGATTCGCATTATGCTGCACATAGTCCTCTTAGGAGCTGCAGATCTCTAGATAGAGTACTTCATGTAGCAACTTGCTGTGTGAATGACCCTTCCACTGTATTGTTGAGGGAATATTGATGGGAAAGGTCTGTATGCGTTCTGTGCAGGTGCATTTTCTTTTCTTCTACTATTTTTGATCCATGTTTAGTTGAATTTGTGGTTGTAGAATCTGAACCCATGAATACTGAAGGCTGTTTTGACATTAATCTAAAGTAGATCGCCTTCAGTTTTTGTAGATTGTAGTACCTATTATAAACAGTGTGCTAACTACCTGATCTCAGTGAATTTTGTTAATAGTTTATGGAAAAATATTGAGTGTAACCAGATTTGATTATTTTTTAAAAATTATTCCACATATGTTTATTTCCATATCCTAGATTTATATACTGCTACAGACAGGTATGTGTGTACGTGTATTTTATAGTGGGAAAAATGTGCTAAGTGTTTAATACAGATTTTGAAACATTTACTGATTTTGAACTGAAAATTTGTATCTTTATGTCATAAAGTGAGCTATATAGCAATAAATGTTCTATAGACACTTTATGTAGCACAAAATTATCAGTGAAGTATATAATTTGGCTTATATTCTTCCAGTTTTGGTCATTTGTGTAGGGAAGGTACACAGAAAGGAAAATTTCTAAGAAACAGTCAATGTTTTATTTATTTACTAGTCGTGTTTCCCTAGAATATTTAGAGAGGCCACTGAATCAAGCATTTTCAAGGTTTCCAGAAAGGTTAGCAGCATGAGTTTTAGGCATTTTATTTTATTTTATTTATTTTTTGGTACCGGGGATCAAACTCGGGTCCTTGCGCTTGTGCAGCAGGCAGCAAAACCACTGACATAAGTCCCCAGCCCAGTTTTAGGCATTTTAACTTGTAAACAAATGCCAGTGTTGTCAGCGCTGGTCTGTTTCCTGAAATTGTGAGTGCTTGCTTACATGAACCTTTTCTTGTCTTTTCTGGTCCTCTGAAGAACCTGTCCCTCTGTACAGCTGCCCTCATGTATATCCTGAGTCGGGACCGCTTGAACATGGATCTCGACAGAGGTAGCTTAGATCTCATGATCTGACTTCTGGAGCTGGAACAGGATGCATCATCAGCTAAGCTGCTGAATGAGAAAGACATGAACAAAATTAAAGAGAAAATCCGGAGACTCTGTGAAACTGTACACAATAAGCATCTTGATCTAGAAAACATAACGGTGCGTTCTGCCCTTCCTTCCATTATAAAATGAGACTTTGTTTCAAAAAATCTTGGACTACTCAAGGTGACTGTGTGACTTGGGACAAATCCTTCAACCTCCTATCCTTGGTTTCCAGCTTGGCAAATTTTTCTAAGGTTTTTCCAGGAGGCATAATTTCATTCCCTTCCTGAATTCCCTAAACTGACTGATCTGTAATGAGGGTTTTGGGGTTGGTTTGTTTGGTTGGTTTTTGACAGTTTTGTTGCCAGTAAATAGCTATAAATGTCTTTGCATTTTCCCTAAACCTTTGCTCTTGATTTCTCCTCTTCCCTCTACCTTCAGGCTGTTAGTTTTAATTCATATTTTCTGTAGATTTTAGGAATAAAAAGGGCAGTTGTTGTGGGGTTTCTGTTCAGAGGGAGGGTCCTAGCCACCTGCCTTTCCTGAGCTCTGCCCCTCACTAACAGGGCAATGGCCCATAGCCACCCTCATATTTAGTACAGCTGCTGTGCTTATGATGGCTGTGTTGCTTTTGCTTCATTCTCATTTCACTTTTGTTGGCATTTTTTACTCGTAGAATCAATAATATTCGAGTGGCTACTAGGCCAGTAAAAGGTAATTGTTGTGGTTTTTTTTTTTTTAATAAGATTGAATGTTATATAAATTGATTTGCAAATCTAAAACATTTTTCTCTTGCCTGCATAACTGAAGACAAGCATTTGCCACAAAAATTTATAGAATGCTTTGTGCTAGGCAGAGATTGCTGAGTGCTGTTGCTCTATTTAATTAAGATGGAGTTGTTAATAAGATTTGGGTAAGAGGGTGCGTGGGAGGAGAGGAACCTAACTTTACAAAGGTAAGGTGCAAAACTGCTGTATGTTCAGTACTTTGTACTTAGGAGAGTTGGAGGAATAGCTGTTGTGCTTAGATGACACATCAGAGATCTTGCCACACCATCAAGCTATCTGGATACTGTCCTTTGGTTGTTTTTGTTTTTGTTTGAACTCACTATGTATCCCTGGCTGGCCTCAAACTTAAGGTGATCCTCCTGCTTCAGCCTCCTGAGTGCTGGGATTGTAGGCATGTGCCTCCACACCAGGCTTAAAACTTGTTTTTAATGTTTATGTACTTTTGATGTTTTTACCTCTACTAATTTTTAATGCTGTAAGAGAATACATTTAAGCCTATAGTTTTTGTAAATATTTTATTTTTTACCTGTACTGGGGATAGAACTCAGGACCTTGCGCTTGAGAGGCAGGCGTGACGCCACTAAGCTAAATTCGCAGCCCTAAGACCTGTAATTTTTACTTGCTGTATAGTTGAATGTACTCCTTTTTTTTTTGGTACCGGGGATCGAACCTCAGGTCCTTGTGCTTGTGCAGCAGATGGCGAAACCACTGAGCTAAATCCCCGGCCCTGTACTCTGTTTTTTGTCATCCATATTGTTCAATATTGAAGTTCACTTCAGGTGTTTGATATTAAATGACACTATGAGAAACTTTTCAGTTGAATTTATTGGGATGCGAGATACCAGTATAAAAACTGCCCTACAGTGTATTAATTTACTCATGTGGTCCAAACCAGATAGCCAGGGGCCAGTTTTAGGATGATTACCCCCACCCAGCTTGTTTTAAATTGTACAGCAGATATTTCATAAGTTGTTTTGTTCAAAAAAAATCCCCTATTATTTTTATATGAATTTCTTAACTTCTCTCTGGAAATATATTGGTATTGTTAATGTGCCAAGGAAAGATAATTTTAAATAGTAATATAATATGATCAGATACAACTTTAACTGAGATATAACACAGTTACATAGTAGTATTCTGATTAGTGATATATTTGTTTTCAAATAAAATGCTTATTAAAAGGCTATTTTAAAAATGCTAGCTAATACTGAAGATTCCATAAAATATCAAAGAATCTTTTATGTCAATAGAAACACACAGTACAGTTTCTTTTTAACATAAAAACTTGGAGCAGTGTTTGCTATTTTTGTTTTTTTGTTTGTTTGCTATTTTTGTACTTAATTATTACACTCTTTCATCCTAACCAGGGTGCCTTTGTACCCCTGCACAGCTGTAAGTCGGCTCGTATACCTGAGCCAGGTTAAATTTGTCTTTAAATTCCTCTCTGAGGGAATTAGTATGAGACACAGGCACAGTGAATCTGTTTTTGTAGTATTGGATTCTAGTTCTGTACCTATCACCTTGGACAACAACTTTTTAAAAAGTGGAGTAAAATATTCTAGATCCCTCTTCTAAATTTGTAATACTAAGATTTTCACTGGGAAGATCTGTTGTTTATATTTCTAAATATCTAATTTATATTCTGTTCCAAATATATAGGCCAGGATGTAAATTTGCATCTTTGGAAGGGCAGAAGCTTTGGAAAGAAAACCAGGTCTTTTCAGGCTTTGCTAATTAAAGCATTTCTTCTGTTATGCAAAAGTTCCTTTATTACATCAAGAACCAGATTGCTCTTTGTTGGGAAGCATGTGTATGCTGTTAGGAGGTGAAATAAGAGAAGAACGTTAACCTGGTTTTAAAAGTATGGCTCTTACCTTTAGTGCTCCCTCTAGTGGCGACCCCAAAGCATTAGTAAAAGTATACTTGAGTATGGTTAAATATAGTATTTTTTTGTCACGGTGGCCACCTGAGGAGTGTCCAGGCTGCTAACCCTGCATGATAAAGTCTGCAACACCTAAGTGAGCAAAATGAAAAACAGGAACCTGGCCAGAAAATAAGAACAGGAGCTCAAAGTGGAAATATGGTTCAGTTCAATCCCTGGTACCCCCCTGCCAAAAAAAAGTGGAAATATGAGTAACTAATACACATGGTTATCTACAGTAATAGGAAAAATGCTTGCACTTACTGTCGTCAGAAGAATACAAGCCAGCGGGTGAACATTTTGTACTCTTTGGCAGTGTAAAGTGATAACCTTGGATCTTGAATATGCAGGGCAACTGGCACCTCCACACTTTGCTCTCAGGAGTGTTACTTGTTCCATCTTCCCTCGTGAATCAGCCCAGTACATTGAAAACGGGTACTTTGATTCAACAGCCCTAGTACTTTTATTGTTCTATTAAAAAAAACCCTGCTAGTAGCATGCAGTGGATTTTTATAACAAACAGCAGTCTCTAAAATTATTGCCTTAGAATTATCACTAAGAATCAGTGTTCATAAATGGTGTATGTGCTTCTGATTTTTAGACTGGGCATTTAGCGATGGAGACATTGCTGTCCCTTACTTCTAAACGAGCAGGAGACTGGTTTAAAGAAGAACTCCGGCTTTTGGGTGGTCTGGATCATATTGTAGATAAAGGTATGGATATGGACGTATATAATGTTTTTACGTATTTAAAGCATGAAGAAAATATCTATATACTTCAAAAATAATTTTTTCAGTTTGAAAAGTTCTTTCAGTAGCATCCTGCAAATCTCTTAACTTTTGAAGTAGAAGTTATTAATACTCTCACATTGGGAGTTTATGGAAATAAAGTATCATACATTTCAGTCTCCTAGTATTAGACATAGAAGAAATCATGTTCCCTGAGATTCCAGCACATTCATAGTTAAGGTTCGCTGAGGGCCAAGTACTGAGGCATTAAGAAACTCTAACTGATTCCATTTCTTTTCACCTAGTCAAAGAGTGTGTGGATCATTTAAGTAGAGATGAGGATGAAGAAAAACTGGTAGCCTCGTTATGGGGAGCAGAGAGATGTTTACGAGTTTTAGAAAGTGTAAGTATGGACAACTATTTTGTGGAAGTTACTTGACCTTTTTTTCTTTTTCTGTTGCTGGGTTTGGACCCAGTGCCTTGTGTGCACCAGCAGGTGTTCTACTCCTGAATTCTATACCCCAACCCTGAAGTCATTCAGTCTTATTTGTGATTGGTGTGTGTAACCACCACATATTTTATATATCCCTGGAATTCTGCTTTTGTTAATTCAAATTAAAGTTTTGTGGATTTCTTGAGCAACTGGTTATTAGTGAAAGATTTAAATGAACATTTTGGCTGGGCATGGAGGTGCATGCCTGTAATCTCAGCACTTGAGTGGCTGAGGCAGGAGGATCACTAAGAATTCAGGGCCAGCCGGAGCTACATAGTGAGTTCAAGGCCAGCCTGGACTACATAGCGAGACCATCTCAAAAAACCAAAATAATAAGTGAATATTTTATTATTTTAAGAATATGTCTTTTATTGATGCAAATGAAACCTTACATGTTTAGGTTTATTGATGTATGCCAAACTTTATTGTTTTTTGCATAATGTGGAATTCTACTTAGCTGCATTAACTTTTTTGCAGAAAACAATAGTTGAACAAAATCAGGGTTAGGGTGTGTGTGTGTGTGTGTGTGATTGTTGAACCCAAGGCCTCAAGAATAGATTGATTGATACAGTGTCTCACTATGTAGCTCAGGCTGGCCTTGAACTTGTAGGTATCCTCCTGAGTGCCGGGATTATAGGCATACACCACCATGCCTAGCAGGAAGTGATTATTTTTAATAAGCATTTATTTAGCTTTTAAGTCAGATTGTAGTTATAACTTATAATATTTGTCATTGGAAAATAATATACTGCCATAATTATATTTTATTCTTTGACTTTTATGAGTAACTTAACCTTTTTTTTTTTTTGGTACCGGGGATCAAACTCGGGTCCTTGCACTTGCACAGCAGGCGGTGAAACCACTGAGCTAAATCCCCAACTGAATAACTTAACCTACTTCAGTATATGTTAGGGTTTTACCTCCAGTAAATTTCAGGATGTGTAATTTTTGTAGATTAGATTGGATTAGCTAGGTACTTCAGCAAACATCAGGAACTCCTAACATAGGTGGAATTGTGCCTTCTCTTTCCTAGGATGCTTTATTAGATCACAGATATTACTTTATAAAAGAAATATATTTACTAAATGAATACAGTTACACACTTTAAAGTATTAGTCTGTAAGTTGGAGATTTCTAATATTCAGAGTTCTTAGCAATTCATTACAGTGAATATATAGTAAAGGATATATTATGAATGAAAAATTATGACTGACATCTTAAATTTATGATAAATTCATAGCCCTGTTCTTTTCAACCTGGAACTTTTGAGAGTAGAACTGTTTCCTAGATGACAAGGAACTTAATAGAGTGTGGTATTACTTGAATAAATAAAAGGTATGGATTGCCATAATTGTTTCATGTTCTTTTCTTTTAGGTAACAGTGCATAATCCAGAGAATCAAAGCTACTTGATAGCATATAAAGATTCACAACTCATTATTTCATCAGCTAAGTAAGTTTTTCTAAAATCTTCTAAAAGGTTATAAAGGAAAGGTCTTACTACCTTATTCTTTAAAATCCTCAATTAAGTTCTGTGAATCCTCATATATCATAGAGCAAAACTTGGGTGCATAAATTCTAGAACCAGAGTACCTGGGTATGGTATTCTAGCATAATAATTTCTGCTGTGTAACTGCGGAGAAGCCACTTAGTTGCTGCAAGTTCATTATAAGGTGGGTAATAATTTTATCTGTCTACCTAGGGCACTGCTTACAATGAAATAAATTGATAATATCATTGTATACTACATAGATACATTTTGGGGTATACATATATATGAATAATATGTACATATATAAAATAGATTTTGAATGATTTTTAAGTATCTTCCGCATATTATGTATATTGAATTACTTAATATATAAGGTCCAGAAAGGTGGGCACATGGTGTGTAGTAAACTCTTCTCCTTTTTGTTATGGTGGTTGTGAGTGCTCTTCTTCTGCCCTCTGTTTCTGTCCGTTCCCCAGCTCTCTATGTAGCTTCCCCTGTCTGTGCCTTCCCTGCCCTGCCCTGCCCTCATCACAGTTAGGCTAATGCTCTCACCTCGGTGCACAGGTATCACTAGTCCTGCCTCTGTCTCATTTCAGCAGCATCATCCTGATAGCTCTGTCCTGGTTTTTTGTCTTTGCCCTAGTTCTCAGCCCTTTCACTTTGCCAGCACAGTACCACAGGGAGCTTTCTCCAAGTCACCCCTTTGGAAAAAAGAACCTGAAACTCCAGCCTCTGTGATTCCTTGTTGCCTTTGGATATGTCCAATTTCTTTCTTAAAGGAAGGCCTGGTGTGGTCTGACTCGAGTTAATCTTTCTCTTAACCTTATAATTTGGAAAATTTCAAATTTAGACAGTAGACAAAATAGTGTAATAAACCCTTCTGTATGTATTACTTACCTTGAATTATTGCCAATTTTGGCCAGCTTTGTTTGTATCTATGACTTTATCTTTCCTCCTACTGTGATTTGAAATAAGTCCAAATGTCGTTATCACCTGCCTCCTTTTTGTCTTGCTTTTGTAAATTCTGTGCACATTTAGTACCCTTACACATCCATTTCCTTTGTTTCTTACCATTTGTTACCCTCCCTCACCAAGGACTGACTATTCTGGTGGTAAATCTGTTGCAGATTCTCTGTTTATAAATTTTTTAATTTTTAAATTGGCATAAAAATCTATATATTTTGTTTTATTTTAAAAGGCCTCTTTTGGCTGGGCGTGGTGATGCATGCCTGTAATTTCAGCACTTGGGAGGCAGAGGCAGAAGGATCACCAAGGGTCTGAGACCAGCCTGGGCTACATAGTGAGTTCAAAGCCAGGCTGGACTGCATGGTGAGGCCTTATCTCAAAACCAAAAAAGAGGGGGTTCTTTTGTATACTTTGTGACCCACGACAGATGCTTTGGAAAAGGGAGTGTTTAATATGACAGCTCAGCTCTTTCGCTGGGATTAGGACAGTCGTGCCAAATGTCTTAGAAGTGGCAGGAGAGGTCATAATTAATGTTTGAAAGAGCACTCATCAGGCATGTTGAGGTTTTCAGTGGAACCATGACAGATGCAGGCATAGTATACTGCAGGGTTGGTACCTGTTAACTCTTAACCCTCAAAACCAGTTAGCTCAGCACTACTTAAGACACTTGAGGGCTCAGTAGTAATAGGATAATTCTGCCAACATCCCCAGACATCAGAAGAATGAATTGTTACAGGTTAGACATCATGAGGAATGCCTTTCTAACCAGAGTCATAAATTATTAGGAAGGACCATCTGGGATTTCCTCAGTGTGTATTAAAGAGTAGGCAGCTAACCCGGGTGTGGTGGTACATGCCTGTAATCCCAGCACTCCAGAGGCTGAGGCAGGAGAATCACCATGTGTTTGAGGCCTGCCTAAACTACACAGCAACATTGTCTCAAAAAAAAAAAAAAAAAAAAGAGTAGGCAGATAAGAAAGGATTAAACCTGGCAGGTTTATGTAAGCAGTTTATGTGGTGTATGATACGTGAAGACTAAACTGACCAACTCAGTTCACTTGATCTCTGTTCTGCTAGGGCAGTGATGGTGAACCTTTTAGAGTTTTCAATGATACAAACAGCCTGCTGTGGCGTATGTGCCATAAGTTCACCACCACTGCACTAGAAGAAGCATTACCCAGGCAGTACCCTGGATTCAATCCCCAGTACAAACAATAGTAATCACAATAATAGACTTAATGGTTTAAAGAGAGCCTTCAGACCCAGACATGGTGGCACACGCCTGTAATCCCCATACTCTGAGACGCTGAGTCAGGAGGATTGAAAGTTTGAGGCCAGCTAGGGCAGTTTAGTAAGACCCTGCCTCAAAAAGGGAGGGGAGGGCTGGAGATAGTGTAAAGGCCCTGGGTTCAATCTCTTGTATTGCATTTAAAAAAGATAAAGCCTTCATAGATAAGGGACCTACTTAAGGATTCTATTTTCTTGTTATTTTTGGTAATATCTATAGGGAATTTTTGGATGCAGATCATAACCTTCGTATGGCTGCCAAGAGATGTGTCACTTTGAATGACCCCAAATTAAAAAATAATTCAATCAGATGCTTGTTTTGGGTTGGAGATCTGGAAAATGCAGGAAAACTCAAATAGGTAGTACAGATGTAAAGTCTCCCAGCAGTGTGTTTATTTTGTGTTATCAGTGATTGAATCCAGGGCCTTGGCACTGAGTTATATCCCCAGCCATCTTTGTTTTATATTTTGAGACAGGGTCTCACCAGGTTGCTAGGTTGCCTAGGCTAGGCTCAAACTTGAGATCCTCCTGCCCCAGGCCTCCAGAGTGCTGGGATTACAGGTGTGTGCCACCCCATATACATGCCATGAGGGCTTTTTATTTTTGAGACAGGGTCTCAGTGTGTTGTGCAGGTTGGCCTTGAGGCCCCAGTTAAGGGATCTTCTGCTTCAGCCTCCCTAGTAGCTGGAACTGTAGGCATACTACCACCTTGTTCAGCATGCCATAAGTTTTAATTTTAATTTTCCTTGGAGAAATTTTGTCCATTTACCAGATTTTTCCAAAGTAAAATGACATTTAACATCTAGTGTGATACAAAGACATATTTGGTACATCATTGAAAGTTAACTTCCAGAGTAGAAAAGCAGAATCTGACAGCTTTTAGGCCCAAGAAATAGGAGTGTGTTGTATAACTTCTGTTATTTGCCACAATAGTAAACATTTCTTTCCTCTTCAGAGCATTGCAGCATTGTGAGGAACTGATCCAGAAGTATAACCGCGCCGAGAACAGCATCTGCATGGCTGACAGCAAGCCTCTGCCTCCCCAGAACGTGACCAGCCATGTGGGCAAGGCGGTGGAGGACTGCATGAGGGCCATCATTGGGGTGCTGCTCAACCTCACCAACGACAATGGTTCGTCCTGTGTTCCCATGTGAGCGCCACATGGCGCCTAGAGACACAGGGAGCTCCCTGTGTGTCTTCTTTCAGTGCCATGCTTTTTAAGATTTCCATAATATAGTGCTTTCCTTGTGTAGGTCCAAGCTGCTTTTAGGAATTGATCCTCTTAGAGCCAGTCTGACGGGTTGGACTAACGTCACCATGTATTTCAGTGAGGGAATGGGCATGCAGTTGAAAGTTTATGTCTGTTTTAACAAATCCAGTTGTTGGTGTCACCAGGAAGGCTCACCAACACTCTTCCACTTTCCCTTTCTCATTTCAGAGTGGGGCAGCACCAAAACAGGGGAACAGGATGGCCTCATTGGCACAGCCATGAACTGTGTGCTGCAGGTCCCGAAGTACCTACCTCAGGAGCAGAGATTTGACCTTCGGGTGCTGGTGAGCCAAGGGCAGGTTGGGAAGAGTGTTTATCTAGTTAGATGATCTAAAGGTCATCTCGATTTGGGGTTAAGAATCAGGCTTTAATGTATTTTGAGTTATTTTTAATAAGTTCCTTATGAACATATTTCTTATATTTTCCTTTATCTCTTTGTAAAAGTATATATTTTATATATATATATATATATAAAACTGCAAAATGGTGTTTAAAACCTATAGGAATAATTCTTTTGGAAAACTAGTATCTTACATCTGTACTGGTTTTTGACCACTTTGCTAATGGAAAAATGCTGATTAGGTTTTTAGCTATTATTAATTCCATACATTTTTGGTTCTTAAGTGCTTGTCTATGATAATGCGCACCTTTCAACTTTTTTGTAGGGCTTGGGTCTACTGATAAATCTAGTGGAGTACAGCGCTCGGAACCGGCACTGCCTCGTCAACATGGAAACGTCCTGTTCCTTTGATTCTTCCTTCTGCAGTGGGGAGGGAGACGATAGCTTAAGGGTAGCCGGCCAGGTTCATGCCGTGCAGGCTTTAGTGCAGGTGAGTGGCAGCTTGGAAACCAAGCTCACCTCTGTGGTCCACTTTCATCCTCCATCAGTTCCTCCACTCCCTTTCTCATTGTATAGAACTAAGGAACATTTGTGGTATATAGTAGGGAGGATTGTCTTTTAGACCTGACCAAGTCTTAAGTATTCATAGTTCCTAGGATGAAACTTTATTTTAAACCAGAATCTTAACCAATTAAAAAACGTGATACTGTTTCTCTTCAGATAAGATCTCTAACCTCTCAGCACTGGTTGAGAGGTTCTCAGCTGCTGTTTCTCCTTAAGCATTGTTAGCAAAAAGCCAGAGACAAAGCACATTGGTTTATGAATCAGAAGTAGATTAATGATAAAAATTGAGAATCTGGCCCTGTCCCATCCAGTTCAAGTACACTGGCATTTACTTAGAGGCCTGATCTGGGTCGAAAATGCTGTAGGCCCTATGGACCAAGGAAGAACTGGAAGCGCTTCATTACCTATTTCTTGGCCAGTTCCAGAAAGTGGCAGAGTGACTGATCCTGGGAAATACTGGGCAGAGATACTGTCCTTGAGTCATTTAAAGTCCTATTTTCTATCATCCCATCTTGCTGTCTTTATTACATATAAAAAAATCAGCCATAGACTTTTTGCATAGGCTTCAGAATACTCAGTCTTGAGGTATCTTGAAATTTTAGTCTTCAGTTATTTAAAACTAAATTATATATGAAACCAGGGAAAAATTGTGAAGTTACTCATCAGTAACATTGATAAACAATACTAGTAATTACTAACAATATCTGGTATTAGTAGACTAATTTTGCTCTTCAGGTATCATTTAAGGGTTCATTTAATGCTAAAAACATTTGAAAATAATTGGCACTTTTTAAAAAGTAGAGCTCATTGACACATTTATTTTCCAAAAGAAGCAGTTTCTTCTTATATAACTTGTTGTTTTTTAAAACTTCGTATTTTGAAATAATTATAGGCTCCCTGAACAAAAATATTACAGATAGTTTCCTCTAATGAACATACAGCTGCAGCCCAAAATCAAAACCAAGAAGTGAACATTGGTGTGTCACTGTTAACTGGACATCACACTTTACTCACTTTCACCCTTTTTAACGTGCACATTTCTTTGTGTATGTGTGATGTGGTATATAGATAATTTCTGTGCAGTTTTATCCCATGCATAGATTCATATATTCACCATTATATTAACATACAGAGCCATCCACCCTTACAGAAGAATTCGTTTGTGCTCCCCATTCCCCAGCCCACCTTCTGGCGCCCACGAGTCTCTTCTCCATCTGTGAGATGCTGGCTCCTTACAAATGTTATGTAAATGGATCCCATGGTGTATGACCTTTGGGGATTGGCTTTTCTTACAAGACTGTGCCCTTGTGGTCTGTTCACGTTGTTGTGTATATTAGTAGCTTAGTCCTGTTTGGTGCTGAGTAGAATCCCCTTGTATAATTGTAACATTCTGGTCCTTTCCTTTTAAAAACTAACTTTTGTTCAGGTAGAACCCAGGCAAATAAAACTCCCATGGATGCCCAGCGGTTTGAAGAAATTGCTGACTGCTCAGCCTTTCTCTCGTGGGAGGGGTAAATTTGCAGATGCTGCCCCGTATGCCAGCTGCACATTTTTCTGTGGTGTCAGAGTCACCTGATACTCAATTCACATTGTGTTTGTTACATCGAACCCAATGTTCTTCTTGTGCATGGTGTGTTACAGAAGCTGCTTGTCTTTTAGGCTGCCGTCCTATATCATTTCTGGTTTTCTGTTACCTGTTAGGGTTTGTTGCTTTTTAATCGGCCCATAAGAAGTTTTTTATTTCAGATTTTAGTACTTTTCAGGTGATGAGTTTTGCCACTGCCCTTTTAGAAAATTGCTACCTTAAACCAGTATCAAGAAATGGCTCATAATTCTAACATTCAAAGACATGGAAAACATGAATGTTGAGATTGATGTCTTTTATACTGCTAACACTGATCTTGTTCCAGTTATTTTCAAATTAAATAATTCCAGCTACTAACCTGAACTTCTTTTTCTAGGTGCTCTGAACTGCTTTTTAAAAATTAATTGATCTATTTGTTTTAGAAATCAAAAAGAATTTACATTCATATTTTAAAAATCACATTCACAAAGGTTTAAAATCCCTAAGTCCATTTCCTAAAAAAAACTTTGTAACAGTTTTGTGTCCAGAGAAATTAGTGTTTATGCATCATTTATCAACACATGTGAATAATTTTTACATGAGTGAAACTATACAGTGATTAATGTATTCTACTTTTTAACATATTAATACAGTGCACCATAAATTATGTAATATGCAAGGAACATCTTTTTAGTGAATAATCATTGACTGAGGTCATTATTTCACACCACATCTGTATTATGGAAATATGAAGTGAACTTTTTGAGTGTGTGTTACTTTACCTATTTTGTCTTCCTGAGCTTTTTATGTCAACACAGGTTTATCTCAATTCTTTGTAATGACTACAATAACAGTAGTTTTATTAACTAGTCTTCTATTGATAAATATTTTGAGTGGTTCTTTTTTCTTTTGTTACAGAAATTATGTAAAGCAAAATACTGGGTATACACATGTTGCTTGGTAATGTCTTTAATGCTCTTCAAAATTAATTTTTGTCAGCTATTCCTTGAGCGAGAGCGAGCAGCCCAGTTGGCAGAAAGTAAAACAGATGAGTTGATCAAAGATGCACCCACCACTCAGCATGATAAGAGCGGAGAGTGGCAAGAGACCAGTGGGGAGAGACAGTGGGTGTCAACTGAGAAGACAGACAGTGCAGAGGAGAAACACAAGAAGGAGGAGGACGATGAAGAACTTGACCTCAATAAAGGTGTGTGTATTTTGAGTGCTATATTCAGGTTGAAAAGAATGGTGTGATTTTGGTTTCTTCAAAACATACTTTATTCATATCTTGTCAGAGTCTCCCTGTTCGTCTAGATAAGGAGCTCCCTTAGCTCAGTCCAGAGAAGCTTGGTAGTCCAGTACTTGTAGTTCTTCCCAAGAACAAGCAAAGTGCCTGTCATGGCCTGCATGATGCTGGTGGTGGGAAAGAGACAACTAGTTAGTCCCTTTTCTTTTCTTTCTCTTTTTTGGTACTGGGGGTCAAACTCTGGTCCTAGTACTTGTGCAGCAGGTGACGGAACCACTGAGCTAAATCCCCGGCCCTAATGAAAGGTTTTTTGGTTTTTTTTTTTTCTTTGTTTGGTGCCAGGGATCAAACTCAGGTCCTTGTGCTTGCGAAGCAGGCGGCGGAACCACTGAGCTAAATCACTGGCCCAGTCCCTTTCATTCTGTCTCCTCCCCTCCTTCCTTCATCTGTAAAGAGTACCCACTGGACAGTGTGGTTTTTCCAGCTTTGCATTTTTGAGATTTCTTTTATCAGACACACTTGAAAATGACATAAGTCACAGTGATACTCCTCAAAGCATAAGTACTTGGTGGCCAGTACAACAAGAAGTAACCCTGAAGTAGTATCTTCACTAGGCAAGCACTTACTGGGTATTCTGCTTGAGTCGGGAATTGATACTTGTTTTACCATTCATACAGATTCTGCAGAACTGTGGCTTATAACTGCAGGTCCTTGAGGGAATGAAATTTGAGTAATGTGTTTAGCTTCTTCTAGCTAGGAAGCTGTCCTCTGCAGTGTCTGATTCTGAGCCTTTCTGTCTCCATTAGGCCCAGTCCTCCCTGGATCAAATGCCATAAGTTATGGTATTACAAGAAATTTCTGTTCTTAAGAAGTGTTTCCTTTGTTTCAGTGATATTTGTGATTGTTTAGCAGTCTTTAAAAAAAAGAATAATAATAAAAATTGAGATATGATTTGTATAGTATAAAATTTCCGTTGTTTTTTTTTTTTTTTTGTACCAGGAGTTGAACTTGGGGCCTTGCGCTTGCAAGGCAGTTGGCAGAACCACTAAGCTAAATCCCTGGCCCTAAAATTTTCCTTTTTAAAGCAAATAATGCATAAGTTTTTAGTCACAATTTTATAGTCACAAAATTGTACATTCACCACTACTTTCTAATGCCAAATATTTTTCATCAGCCCTGAAGATGCCACATACCTATTAGTTGCCATCACCCTATTTTCTCCTCCAGCCGCCATTCTGCATTCTGTCCCTATTTTGGACATTTACATGAAAGGAATCATAAAATGTGTTACCTGTTACATGACAGGCTTGTTTCAGTCACCTTTGTGCTGTAGCACGAGTCAGGACTATATTCCTTATTCGTATAGCACATGATTCCCTTGCATCATCACCCCACACATTAGCAATGTGGCTATCTCTGTTAGTATAGTGCCTTTATCTATATGACCGGTAATACTCCATAGTACCCTATATTGCATCGTGCTTATGATTTGTCCGTCTACTGTTAGAGCTGTCACAAATGATGCTCCTGTGAACAGTTGCAGACTCTTGGATATATACAAAGAATTTTAATGAAACACCAAACTGTTTTCAGTGTGGCTACTCTATTTTGCATTCCCAATCAATAGTATAGGAGGGTTCAAGTTTCTCCAAATCCTCAAAATTGCCTTATGTATGTATGTATGTATGTATGTATGTATGTATGTATGTATTTATTTATTTATTTTCTGGTACCAGGGATCAAACTCAGGACCTTGTGCTTGCAAGGCAGGTGCAGAGCCACTGAGCTAAATCCCCAGCCTAAAATTGGCTTTTTAAAAAAGTGATTTTAGTCATCTTAGTGGAAGCAAAGTGGAACCTGGTGGTTTGGTTTAATTTGTACTTCCTTGATGTTTACAGATATGGAAGATCTCCATCCACTTATTGGCCTTTTGTATGTTTGTTCAAATGTACTGCCCACTTATTAAGTGATTGTTTGTCTCTTTACTCTGAACATTGACCTCTCCAAATACACGATGCTGCTCTCATTGTTCATTGTCTCCCGAATCTTGACTATGCTCTCCAACCTCTAGCCCTGCAGCATGCTGGCAAGCACATGGAGGACTGCATCGTGGCCTCCTACACAGCACTGCTTCTCGGCTGTCTCTGCCAGGAAAGCCCAGTAAGTAAAGTCTAGAGGTGCTCTGTGCATCTTGTATCAGCTCGCACTATGACCTAATTCACTGGTTTATTCCTTTAATCTTCCCCCTTGTATGCCTGCTTTATTCCAGAAAGGCTTCTGGTTATGGGGTTGTTCAAGCTATTTTTCAGTGTGGAAGAAAAAACAATAGGAAAATGTGTACCACTTGCAGTAGGTTCCTTTAAATTACATAGTATTCTTAGTATTTTTCTTTAAACACACTAGACATCTTTATTTCCGTTCTTTTACACGTTTTACTGCATAAGTTTAAAGTGCATTGTTGATCTTTGTGGCTGTGTTAGAACTGATGTGCCTGTCAGAATCAGGCTGTTTGAGATGCAGAAAATAAAGCTAGCTAGGGTGCTTTTAATAGGAAAAATACAAACACAAAATTCAATGAAGATAGCCTATAATGGAAGAGACTTTCACAGATTTTTGTTGGACTTTTCAAGGTGCATCCCAAGATAGAGTCCTCTGGGCCTGGAGAGGCAGCTCCTGTTTGATGAGTATCCAGATGGCTTTGGGTGGAGGGAAAGGGGCTAACACAAACCTGCACCCAGATGGCACAATAAGATGGCAGAGGCTGATGTTGGTACCTTAGTGCCTCTGAGAGGCAGGAGTGAGAGCGTTTGTAAGCTGCAATCCTCACACCTGATGGTATCCTTTGCTAGAAGCACTCCTGGGGCCACAAGCCAGTAACTGGGTCCCACACAGTTCAGTAACACCCGGCTGTGGCTGTAGCAGGCCCCTCTGGAGGACATTGCTTTTCTCCCCCTTGGGCCCCTGCGCATCCAGGCAGATATCCCCTCTTGGCCAGCTCTGGGTCATGTGCATTGTCCAAACCAGTCTGAGTGCTTGGGCTCATCAACATGTACCTGTGAGGACTGAGTTGGCACAGACGAAGCACAGCCACAGAGCACAGGTAGAAAGGGGAAAAGAGAGTGGCTGAGGTCAGCGTCTGCAGCAGGGCCGTGCCAAGGCCAACTCCAGGTGAGGTGCAGTCTCGTGCGTTCTGCCAGCTGACCAAGGCTCTTGGATCCTCTTCCACAGATCAATGTCACCACTGTGCGGGAATACCTGCCAGAAGGAGACTTCTCCATAATGACAGAGATGCTCAAGAAATTCCTCAGCTTCATGAATCTTACTGTAAGTAGTTTCTCTTCAGCTCATGTGGTTTGAAGTGTAAATATATTGACAGGAGAAATAATTCTGTGACCATCATGATTGGAAGAAGAAAGGGGTTCTCTTTGGTAATGGTGTTTCTTCAAGATAATTGTGATTAAGGTGAAGCGCTGTTTTAAAAGACGTAATTTACTTTCAGAATACTTGGATTTGTGGCATTTGTTGAGTGACTTCTTTACAGTTAGACTTTGATTGAACATTAACTGTTCTTCCTTCCCTCCCCCAGTGTGCTGTTGGGACGACGGGCCAGAAGTCCATCTCCAGAGTGATTGAGTATTTGGAACACTGCTAGCTGCTTTACCTTTGCTTCAGGTGCTTGGGAATGCTGGAGCTACCCTTAGACAAAGAAATATCATGAGAGGTCCTTGAAGAGAAATCAAGAGCATTCATCAGGATTTTACGACCACCTGATTTCTTCGTCATGCATTCTGCATTTGCTCAGTGACAGTTACTATGTCAATCTGCAACTATCAAAAATGAGGGAAAAGGTTCAGGCTGCTCACAACCCATGCAGTATTGAAATACACTTCCTGGCAGAGTCTACCCCTTCCCCCATGTCCTTGCTTCACTCCAGGCAGGTTTGAGGGGTGACTTCATGCTGCTGTTAGTGCAGCTGCTGTGTGTGGAGCCACTGTTGTCGCGCTGGCCAAGGCAGGGCAGCTCAGCGATGAGGTGTTGGAGGTTCTGAGCTCGTTTAGATAGCAGCTTAGTTCCTTTTTCAGGCTCATTGGCTTTTGCTTTTTTGTTGAATGATTCCGATCATAAATAAAGCTTTTAATAATTTTGTGAATTTTTGGTTATTGTTCCCTGAACTACTGTCTATATTTAAAATTAGATGGAATCCAAAGACACAAGGGATTAATAGTATATTTTTTTATTCTTGATTAGGTTTGGGTGTTGAACTATTTTTCTCTTTTGAGACCATGACCATATTCAATATCATACCGTAATGTGTCATAGCAGTAGATGCAAGAAAACAAATAGCGGTTGGAGGGACTATTCTGTAAGATGATGTGCCCTGTTTTAATGGATTAGCAAAATAGACAAACCCAGGGTAGTTTACACTTAATGCTAGGGAGGCTCTTGAGACAGTGTGAGGTTTTGAGGGAGGATCTCTAGATATATTTTCTGATGTTCAGTACAATAAATGTAAGGAAGCTAAAACACCAATGTGGAATTCACGTTTCCAGATAACGTGTATATTCTTCTGTAGTGACAGGATCAATTACATAAACGCAAAGCCTTAAAATTGCTGACTTAGAGAAGATCTTTTTTTTTATACAACAGTTGTTTTTGGAAAACAGTTGTGGAACACACAGAATCAGTTTTTGTGAATTTAATTTCACAGCATTGCAAATTTTTCTTGTATTGTTCAGACCACTGGTTACACTTTCCTTTTTTTTAATTGATTGAGCCTGAGGACAGGCTTTCCAGAGATCTCTTTCATTAATATTTTTAATTACCTTTCAGTAGTGACATGTTTCTCCATTGGATTTGTAAAACTTGAAGCCATAAAATATTAGTTTGGTGTGTATTGGGGAAAATAGCTAAAAGTCTAATTTTTACCCATTTAGACTTTGTTATATTTCCTTGTATAAAGTAACAAACTGGGGCTCTTGTATCAGTGCCAGCTGTAATGTTTTTTAACACAGTGGCTGCCTTCTATTGTCTTCCTATTTTTGATAATGCAGATTGTTGGGAACTCTATAAGGAAGTAACTGATTCCAGGCAAACAGTTTTCTTCTTTGTTCTGCCCTCCTGAGCCCTACCCATCACCTTTGAGAACACAGTATGCCAGTGTAACATGGGAGACTGGGATTGTTATTTGCCCTGAGTAGAAAAGCTAACTTAGCAAACTTTACAGAGCATATTGGTAAATGATATCCGTAAGATTAAATTAGTTAGGTATATTTTAATTATTTTTAAATGCATTGATATTTATTAATCATTGGATTTAGGGAAGAGAACAGATTTTTGGTAAAACTGACATGTGGCAGATGGTAAGGAATCTGACAGAACATTTGGGTGAGATCAATCAGGGCGAACTACATTTTTCTGTTACACTGGTAATCATTTGAAAATTGATTTACCTCAGTGTTTAACAGTTTTTTTGTTTTGTTTTTAAATAATAACTAATTGTCAAGCACTGATAGAGATGCAGATTTGGGGGTGCGGGCAGGGGTGAGGGAGACCCCACCTCACCAATTGGAGTGCATTTGTGTGTTTTAACCCTCAGAGAACTCTGCATTTTAGGGTACTTGAGGCTGACTTGCAAATTAACTAAAGTTTTAAAGTAACCTTTTTTCCACTGTAAATATTTCTGTAAATACTACCAATTGGAAATTAGAACAGTAGAGTACTTTTCTGAATCCAATCCTATTTTTATTTTATACAGTATTTCTCAGCTGTGATCTTTGGAGCAAAAGCCAACGGCAGGAAAAAAATAGTTTGTACCAGTTTCATGAAGTATGTCTTTGGGTTTTTGTAAATAATTTTAACTCAAATAAAATTGCTACTTTCAATACACATGTTGTCTTTAACAATAAGTCTATTGATCTGCTTTGGAGGAAGTCTGCACCCCATATGGCTGACAGCGCACCATATCACTTTAGTATCTCTAACCTACACACAGGTAACCAGTCCTTGTTAAATACCTTACTATATACTTCGAAATATTCATCAGACTACAATGAAAATTTTTTTTTAACTTTTTAAGCATTTCAGTTTCCTTCCTAGTTGGCAGCTTTTAATCCTCCTGCTCTTAGATAGACGTAACTTCCTCACCTTTCCCTACTAATTTCAGCCACACAACTAGGTTGGAGAGTTTCTCCCAGGAGCTAGAGTCTTTGCTCTGATGCTTGTTCCTGACAGCAGGTTCTGGGAATTCACCCTTCCTGTCTGCTCAGCTCAGAAGTGGGCATCGTACCTAGCCTCCTGGTTGCAGCCTCACCAAGTGCACGGGAACCAGGGCATGATGCTCACACTCAGGAGGACTTGGTGATACAGCTTTCATCATCTTAGTACTTTGTTCCTTTCACCTTGTCAGGGAGCTCAGCTGTCCTAAAGAATGGACTGGAGGAGGATGCTGTGACTGCCTGAGGACATGTGGTATGCCTCCTCCTGTCTCTGGGGTGAGGGCGTTTGGGTGACATTTAACACTGAGGTCTCCATGATGACTGACTGCTAAGCCAGCAGGGAAACAAAACAGACCTCAGGGACCATTCAGATGTTCCATCCATCCTTTGGGCTTTTCTTACTCTGAAAGGATTGAAAGGTTTGCAGGATGCACTGTTAGCAGCCTCCCTGTGCTGGATGCATCACCGAATGACTGCATGTAGAATGTCTCCAAATGAAGCTTTTAAATGAATACTGCTGGGTGCTTTGGCCAAATCTCTTTCATTGCTAACTGGTGGGGTTTGCTCGAGGTCCCAGACTGTTTCATACTGACTTAAAAACAGCCATATCTGCATACTAACTAGTTTTTAATTAGCTGTGAGACTCTACATGCTATCCAGGGTTGTGTTTTATATGGACTGGGAAAATGGGATTACACTGTTAAAAGTTACTAATTTTGGTGTAAAGTAGCATAATACTAATTAGATTTTGAAAAAGATACATATTGTAATCCCTAGAACAGCGATGACAAACCTTTTAGAGCTTTCAATGATACAGCCCGCTGTTGCACTCATACCACAGGGTTGCCACCAATGCCCCAGAGTAACCAGAAGCAATAATGCAGAGGTATAGCTCAAGCTGCTAGAAAAATCAAAATGGAACTGTGAAAAATATTTGATTAACTCAAGGAAGGCAGAAAGGAATAACTAATAAACTCAAGTGAAGTAGGAACAAATGGCAAGAGCAAATATAAACAAAAGCCACTTTCCCTCCCAGGAATAAACCAAAGATATTCACTGAATTAACTTAATGGTAAGTGCACCACACACCCCAGTTCAAGGAAGAACAGCAAAGAAATACTAAATTCACATTAAAAACAAAGTGAAAGGACAGGAGGAGACAGCAAACACTAACTGTACTAAGGATGGAGTAGACTTGGAGATGAGATGGTGTCAGTGACTGCCAACTGCCTTAGCCTCGTGGACACGGACATTGCACTCAGCCAGCTGTGGAATGCACCTGAACTGTTCGCCAGGAAAGACTGACTCGTGGCTCCTAGAGCAAATGTCAGCCCATTTTCTGTGATTTCAGTCTTCCAGGATATACCTATAAATAATGAATGATTAAGGAAAGGAGTTTAAGCAGAAATGAGTAATAAAAAATTTTACCAAAGTCAAAAGTTGGTTCTTTGAAATCAAGAAAAAGAAATGACTAATGTCAAGAATTAAAGATAGAGGGGCTGGGGATTTAGCTCAGTGGTTCCATTGCCTGCCTTACAAGCGCAAGGTCCCCAGTTCGATCCCTGGTACCAAAAAAAAGGTGGAATACTACTATGATACAGGTCCTACTGACATTAAAGGGATACTGATACAACGAAACTATATACATTTTACAATTTAAATGGACAAATTCCCTGAAGTTACAAGAAATAAGCCCGATTAGCCCTGTAAAAAATCAATTGAGTTTATACTTTAGTCTTCCTACAAAGTCCTGTCCCAGGTACATTGTATAAAACTTTACTGGTACCTTGTTTAAAACATTTAGGGACAAATTAATACTAATCTTACAGAAACAGCAGAGGAGAAAGGACGATTTCCAATCAACACTTGAGGCTGTGTATATCACTGCTACAAAGGGCAGAGGTATCTCAAGGCTACAGACCAATATTTTATAATACAGATGCAAGATCAAGATAATGGAAAATCAAACTATATAAAAAGTATAATACATCACAACAGTGGTTTACTAAAGGACTACAAGATTGGTGTAACACTCAAAAATAAGTATAATTGAAGCCAGAGTGGTGGCACATGCTGTAATCCCGGCACTTGAGAGGCTGAGCCAGGACCATTCATGAGTTTCAGGCCAGCTATATAGTGGGGCTATATAGTGATACCTTGCATTAAAAAAAAGTATAAGTAACTTTAAAGACTAAAACTGTAATCAATACATCAAGGACAGTCCTAGAATGAGAACTACCCTTATATATGGTCACCTTTTGGCAGAGAAAACATTGTTGAAATGTATTTGAAGCAAATATTTCTGAAACTAGTGGATGCCCACATGAAATCTATTCCTACCTCACCCCAAACAAAACTCCAGAGGGATAATTGATCTAAACATAAAAGGTAATAGGAAGCTTTTAGAAGAAAACAGGAAAATAACTGCATGAATTCATATTTGGTGATTAGTGAAGACCTTTTAGATGAGATAAATCAGTAACTTTAAAGAAAAAAAAGGACACAGACATGGGGGTCTACATTTGTAAGTTCATATTGGGGGCCAGCCTGGACTACTGGACTACATAGTTCAAGACCAGCCTGAACTATATAGCGAGACCCTGTCTCAAAAAAAAAAAATATTTTGTTCCTCAAGACATCATTAAGAGAATAGGCAGGCCAGCCTCTGAGAAAAATATTCAGAATCATATATCGACAAAGGGCTTGTCTCCAGAATATAGAGACCCACAACTCAGGTTTTTAAACATTCAACTGTAGAATGGTTAAAAATCTTGACTACTCTACAAAGAATGAATAAGTAATGAAAATGAGGAAGTGCTCATAACAGTCACCATGGAGATGGGAATCTGAGTTATGAGATACTATCATACATACGGTAGAATGACTAGTTCAAAACTTAGCACGAACAAACAATTGGAACTCTCAGTGCTGGTGGAATGCAATTCCTAACACCATTTTGGAAAAGTCTTGGCAACTGTTTGTGAAAAATATCTACCTGTCCTTAAACCCAGTATTTCCACTTTGTCCAGGACAAAGGAAAACATTCAACAGAAAAACTTGTGAAAATGTTCATAGTGGGGCATGGCTATTGTTGGGGGCTTTTAGTCAGATTTACTTTGAAAATCAAGAGCAAAGAGCCCAGCAGAATGATTCAAAATGTTATGAGTTTGGCCAGAAAGGAAGCTCTGACAAAGCTGAGGCCTACAAAGATGGAACAGAAGAGAAAATGGTCAAGAAAAAACCAAGTATTTCAAAAGACAACAGAAAAGATGGCCTGAAAGCATCACAAGAACCAGCAGGACTCCAGGCTTTGTGGACTCAGAGTTGCAAAAGTGAAAGACTACTTTGAGAAGAGAGCCACAGAGCACCATGTTCCAGAATGGCAGTGGCCTAGGGAAGTTGTTCCTTGGGATTTTCATCGTAGGCACTCAAACCCTACAGACAAGAAAGAAGGAAGACTGGCTACTGCTCCAGCTAGCAGCAGACCTTGGCATCATCCATGTGGTGCTGGTTTTAGGTGCATGCAGAATGCAGGAGTTGAGGGGTCAGGAAAGCTTCCACCCAAATTTCAGAAGAAGTCCTGGGAGGCCAGGCAGTGTGCTCCTGAGAAGGCAGTGTGTGAAGATGTGGGTGTGAAGACAAGGGTGCAGTGGAGACCCCAGAAATTTGGAGGAGCCAGGAATGTGGATCATTTGAGGAAAACTGTAAGGAGGAAGCAGAGCCAGCTGAAGTGAGAAGCCATCAGAGCTATAACCACTGGAAGTCCTATAGGGGTGGAGCCATCCAAGCCTTTTGGAGTTCACATCTTGCCACAAATTTCCTCAAATGCTATAAGTGGAACTATGGGATTTAACGTTTGCCCTGCTGTACTTTGGTCTTGCTTTGTTCCCATTCCTTGCTATCCCCCACTTTGTACATTTTAGAATGGAAATGTCTGTCCTGTGCTATTGAATGTTGGAAGTGTTTAACTTTCTTTTCATCTATACAGGGGTTTGCAACTAAGAGTTTGGTGTAAATCTCAGAGGAGACTTTCATCTTGGAGTTTTCAGCAATGCTGAAACTGTTAGAATTTTGGCAACTCTTGGAGATAAACTTAAATGCCTTTTGCATCAAAGGATGTGCATGAATCCTCATGTGGTCATAGGTGGGGCTTTTTCAGAGTTGGCTGAATCAACCTGATCAAAAAAAGGACAGAAAAGCCTCAAATTCATGCAATTAGTAATGAAAAAGGTGAAGTTACAACAGATCCAGCAGAAATCAGAGAATCGTCAATACCTACTTTGAGAAGCTGTACTCTAATAAAATGGAAAACACTGAAGAAATGGACAGATTCCTAGATACATATGAATAACCAAAGTTGAACGAAGAAGATATAAAAAGTCTAAACACCCCAATGACAAGCAGTGAAATTGAAAATGTAATTAAAACTTTACCAACAAAGAAAAGCCTGGGTCCTGATGGTTTCACTGCTGAATTCTACAAGACATTTAGAGAAGATCTTTTGCCACTACCCTTTAAACTCTTCAATGAAATTAAAAGGGAAGCAATACTTCCAAATTCATTCCTGGAAGCAAGTGTTACTTTGATTCCAAAAGCAGGGAAAGACCCAACCAAAGAGGAGAACTATAGGGCAATCTCCCTAATGAACATAGATACAAAAATCCTCAATAAGATACTGGCAAACAGAATACAGAGGGTCATCAAGAAGATCATACAATCTGACCAAGTCAGATTTATCCCAGGGATGCAAGGATGATGGTTCAAGATTCGTAAATCAATAAATGTAATACACTATATTAACAGAGTCAAGGACAAAAACCATATGATCATCTCAATAGATGCAGAAAAGG